TTTTTAAAGGCCAAGTCACTAAAGTCACTTTTTCTTGTAATCAGTCACTATTTTCAACTTATTTTACGTGAATTTATTTCAAGATAGATTATTCTTCTTGGATCTGAGTGTTCAATCGATGCCCACATGTTGTTCTAATTTTCGAACAATTCGAAGGTGTTGTGCTTCTATAAAGCTTTTTGACGTTTAATCGTCTTTCTCTATCTATTCATTTGGCTAAATAAAACTTCCCGAATGTTCCAGGTTTTCCTAAATTTTAACGGATAATTTCTATGTTTATAATAACAAAGTTCAAAGATAATCAGTTTTAAATAAACAGCTTTACAATAAACTTCATTAAATGTTGAAGCTTAACACTTACTTAAAGAAAGTTTAAGATAATATTCCATGTACAAGTTCAGGATATTGAAACGGGAACATAAGGGAAGTTTAACTTCTGAAAATATAGGCAACTTTCTGGGAGCTTTAAGAACTTCAAAGCGGTTCTACAGGGTGCGTGACGAATTTTTGCAGTAAATTTCAAATAGTAATTTCTCATGCTTGTGCATCATGATTTAGATATATTTGGTAGCACTGGATAGCTTATACTGTTAGGTGTAAGATTTAAACAAACAATGTTGAGTAAACGTAAAGATGTCGAAACAAGAGAGCAATCTGTCAGCCGTTGTCGCTTTGTTGCGCGCCGGAGTATGCATGAAAGAAATAATTCGGTCGGTAAATGTGTCTCAAAAAACAGTGTATAATATTAAAAAAAGGCTTGGGAAAGTGATAAGACGGAGCACCTGCTCATACTGCTAATAAAGCACAGAAATGGCTTACGGAAAATATTTCGTAAATTTGGGAGGAAGAAATTTGGTCCCCAAGCAGTCCCGATATCAATCCGTTGGATTATTTTGTATAGGGCGTCGTCCAACGGGATACCAATAGAACCCCTCACACCACACTTAAGTCGCTAAAAGCTAAAATCAAGGCAGTGATGACATCTATGGATCGAAACATTTTAAAACGTGCATACTGCCGTTTCCGGAAGCGTCTAACAACAGTCGTCGAAAGGGAAGACAATTTTTTTGAATAAATTTACTTACAACTTCCATATGTTGCGATAGAAAATAAATCGCACAAAATTCATTGCTAGAATAACTAACTGGAGTATTTTTCTCAAATATGCCATTTACTGCAAAAATTCGTCACGCACCCTGTATTAGCTTTTGGGAAAATGCAGGAACTTTAAAGAAGTTCCTAGAATTTTAGAGAGCTTCACCGGTAAGAGAACTTCAGAAATACACAGAATTTGAGAAAAAGTGTGGATCATTTAAAGAAGCTCTAGGTACCTCAGAAAAGCTAAAACTAGAGATCTTTGGGGAAATTCAAAGATCCTAAGGGCAGTTCCCGTTACTTTAGTTCAGACTTCGTGAGTTAAGAAAATTTCATGAAGTTCCATGATATGCTGAAGAAAAGCAAATCGAGAACCCTTAAGATTTTCCAAATATTTCAGGGAAGTACAGAGACCTTCAGAGAATTTATGAAAACTTCCAAAAGATGTCAGGAACTTCCTAGAAATTCAGAGAATTTTAGGGAAGTTTAAAAGAGTTCCATTTATTTCAGAGTAGAACCGAGGTCTTAAATATAATGGAGAGTTCTCCAAGAACATCAAGTCAGATCAGATATCGGCTTTTTGTTTATTTAATAAGGCTCAATCGAATTCACTTTAAAGAGCCAAGAATTCTTGTTCATTATACAAAACATCGTAAAACTATATTCAAAAGGTACAGCCCAACAAACGCTTTATCTTCCGCAATCCAATAAGCCTCCTCCATCAGAACGGGATCCGCTTCCAGTGGTTGATGAAGAACAATGAGAAAGACCACGCAATGGTTGCTGCCGAATTAACAGACGATCGCGTGACACACATCGAGAGTGGCCTGCTTCTGTTGAAAGCCGAGTGAACACTCGAGTTTAGATAAGTTGATTAGAGAACATCAACGAAGTTACATGAATTAAAATAAATTGCGAGATCTTTTAGTAAGCACCAATATTTTCAACAAACTCCAGAGAACATCTAAGAAATTTAGATGAACATCTAACAAATTTAGATATTTTTATATAGTTTCATGATATTCAGCGAAGTTCCGCGTTCTTTCTGGGCGCTCAGATAACTTCAGAGCAATCCCATTAACTTAAGGAGATATTCGCAGTGGCTTACAAGGAGTTTTATGATTCGAAAACTTCAGAAGCGCCATGGAATTATGAATATATGTCAGAAAATTTGCCGGAACATTCAGCCTAGTCTAGAAAATTGATGAAGTTATCAATTAGAGTAAATTGCAGGAGCTTAAAGAAGTACCAGAAGTGCAGAGATCTTGAGAAACATTCCGAGAACTTTATAAAAGTCTATGGAACTTAAGGGAAGATCCGAGAACTTCTGGAACTTCTGAAAATGGGAGAGTATTTCAAAAAAGTTTAGTTAGCTCCAAAAATAGGGGGAATTTCTGGAGGAGTTCAGTTCTATTCGTTTCAGAAAATTAGCGGGAAATTTTAAGAAGTTCAGGACTTCAGAGATGTTAGGAAAATTATTAAGGTCTTCACATAAGTTCAGAAGCTCACGGAAGCTTAATTTGTTATTATGTCAATTAAAATCAGGGCAGTACAACAAGCTACATGAGAACTGCTAAAACTTTAGAGAGGTTTTAATAACTTTTGGATAAAGCAGAGAACCTCAGAGCAGTTCCGTTAACATTAGAAAAATTGCATACATTTTATAGAAGTTGCAAGAACCTCAGCGAATTGTTAAAACTTAAGAGAAGATCCATGATCGTTAGGAAAATTAAGGAAACTTTGGGAAGTTCAATAAAGTGCAGGGCAGTTTATAAATATGATGAGAAGTATTGTGAGTATCAGGCTAGCCTTAAAACTATACTTAAAACATGATGCACAAACAAGAACTTTAAGCTAGTTTTAGGAAAATTTTGGCAAATTTCAAGTAGTTTTGAAGTTTTGTAGAATGGACTGTTATTCCATGTTCATCGAAGATTTCTTATGACAATTAACTTGGAGTTCTCCTTAGCATTTCTTTGGAACTATCTTCCGAATTCAATTTTCTTTTAATTTTCCTTGAAGTTCTCATCAGTAAGAAACCCTTTGGAAAGATTATCTGAATTTTCATTGAATTCATTTCAGATTTCCCTTGGAAACACACTCGTTCCCTTGAAATTCTACTCATTCCCGGTAATTTCAGGTTCTTTCATGTGGTAGATAGCCTTGGCTAATACCGTGGATTTGATCATTAGCTTTCTATTCAATCTTTCGCTTTAAAGTATCATATCTTACATAAATGTTTATGAGCTACTAATTGAAAAAGTCTAAAACATCAGGCTTTTCTTCTCTTAGGTCATTTTTTAGTCACTTTATTTTTACAACTATTAGTCACTATTTGGTCTCTTATTTCTTCAACATGGTTACTAAATTCACTATTTTTGATAGCATTGACCGCTACCAGCTGTAATTTCCTGACGCTCAGCATCAACAAGTGCAACGCGACACCCGAGCAAAGTCTAAGTTCAAATTGAAAACTAAATTTGATAGGGTTTTTGATCTAATTTCAGTCCTACTAAGCACGACCCGCGCTTTACCTCTCTTTTCTGAACGAGTGTTCAAAAGGAGTATTTCTATCAAAAAATGACTTCTAAATTTATTCATCTTTCCATACATACAGTTGGATTTGATAAAGTATCACAAATTGTTGAGATATTATTTAAAATCGAATACTGCTTCTTTTTCCCCAATTCATTCTACGAGTTTCAATTCCGTCCTAACGCATTGAAACGCCATTAGATTTTCTTCGTCCTACGGATTAACGTAGAAAAAGGGGATTCGCTAGGAGCGCTTCTTTTGTTTTGAGAACAATGAGCATAAATATTCATACAATGTGCTCTATCAGGATTTATGTTGTAGCTAATGAACTAACGCATCGGAACAAATCTATTTTTGATATGTGCACGGTGAAATCATTGGTATTATTGATCTTTTCTGATCGATAGAACGGAAATGGGCGATTACGACGAAGTAGCGCTCTATTTGGCAATTGCGATCAAACATTTGGGACTTACATTCGACTGTTAACTGACATTCAAACCGCCATGCCATGGAGACTAAAGCTTGCAGGCAGTTTGGCTTTATATGCAAAATCTTTGAAGACTTTCGCGATCCGCTATACCAGCGAGCGCTGTACTATTTGTTAGTCTGGCCAATCTTGGAGTCTAGTGCTGTCGACGGTGGCCGTACCAAGCTTGATGGGCACCTAGACTCGAGAGTGTATAGAGAAAGTTTGTTCACTACGCGCTCTATCATCTACCCTGGTGTGAACTGGCTAATTTGCCTTCTGTAGATCGCTAATTGCTGCTTGAATTATAACCAGCGACATTGATTTCCATGAAATACTTTGGCTGCTTTTCTTCAACGCACCTGAGTGAGTGATAAGACAACAAAACTTCGCACAGCTCACAGCTCCTAATCACGGATTCTGTCATACGCATGGATTGATTTTTACTGTCATAAGCAATATTCAGGAACATAAATTCTACCCGGTGATTAATGTCTTTTTGTAGCAATGAATGCGTAAGATAACAGCAAAGCAATATTGTTATAACACTTGTTAACACTGATCAACCACAATTACTACTAACTCTGTCTCGTTGAAAGATTGCATGTTAATATTTTGGAACTGATTTATAGTACTTATTCTAATATCAGCAACCACCTCTACAACTACTACTACATGTCCCACCACAACCAACTTCCACTGCAAGTGTACACCAAAAAAAAAAAAGACAGGAGCACCTTCATACATTGGAGGCTTAGTGAATTGTGATTTTGAAACTACAGCTCCCACATTCTACAGCATGCTAGACTTTCTACAAGACAACACTGTAGACACCTGTGATGCGAAGTGATTGCACCAAGTCGTTCTTTTTTTTCCAACCCGGTCTTTCTCTCGTCCACAGGTGCTCATGGACATGTTCTACCAGGGCGACAATTCGAGCTCGATGGCACCGAGCCCGTTGCCGCCGACGCCCCGTACTAGTCTCAGCTACGAGGAGGTCGTCAAAGAGCTCATACACGACGAGAAGCAGTACCAGCGAGACCTGCACATGATCATCCGGGTGTTTCGCGAGGAGCTGGCCAGGGTCGTCGACAAGCCCAAGGTTTGTAATAAACGAGAATTGCATACCAACTTAAATATCATGTGCTACATTGCAGGAACTTGACCCGATCTTCTCCAACATCATGGACATCTACGAGGTCTCGGTGACGTTACTCGGTTCGCTCGAGGATGTGATCGAAATGTCGCAGGAACAAACTCCGCCCTGTATCGGTAGTTGTTTTGAAGGTACGTTGCGGGTTCTTGGATGGGGTAAACTTGACGTTTTGATATGGCATGCTTTCAATCTCCTACAGAACTAGCGGAAGCGGCGGAGTTTGATGTGTACGCAAAGTACGCGAAAGATATCACATCGGTTCAGGCAAAGGAAGCCTTAGCAAATTTATTGGCTAAGCCTCAGGTATTTCCATTACTCAATTTTTTTTATTCGCAGTGATTATCATCGTTTTTTTTTCCCCAAGGCGAGTACTTTGCTAATGTCGGCTGGTCACGGTTTCAGGGAAGCGGTTAAGTTCTATCTACCAAAACTACTTTTAGGGCCTATCGGGCATGCACAGTTGTATTTAGATTATATTAAAATTTTACTACAGCTTAGTCCATCGCAGGAGGATAAGGAGAGCTTTGAGCAGGTTCAGGGTCTGCTGAAGCCCTTGCAGTGCGAGTTACAGGGCATATCCTCACGGTTACCTAAGTATGAATGCTTCTACCGATTGCTTTTCCGGGATAGTTGATAACGGAAGTTTGCTTGCCTTGCAGGGAATATTTTGCTAGGGTAAACAGTCGAGCTCGGCGTCAGTCGGCAATCGAAAAAACACGCGACTTACAAAACAGTGTCGAACATTGGGACAAGGACGTAGGTCAGTGTTGCAACGAGTTCATCCGGGAGGATACCCTTGCCAAGCTCAGTTCCGGCAAGCGGCAAACCGAACGGAAAGTGTTCCTTTTCGACGGATTGCTAGTGTTGTGTAAAACTCGTCGGCAGATCGTGCCCGGTAATAATTACGATTACCGGTTGAAGGAACGATTCTTCATGCGCAAAGTGGAGATCATCGATCGACCCGATACGGACGAGCTGAGGTATGCATTTGAGATCTCGCCACGGGAACCGACCAGCGTTGTACTTATTGCGAAAAATGCACAACACAAAAACGATTGGATGGCCGATTTGGTTATGCTGAACACGAAATCCATGCTGGAACGCATTCTAGACAGTATTCTACTAGATATCGAGAAGAAACACCCACTCAAAGTACCTAGTCCGGACATTTATGCATTTGCCGTTCTTGACTCGCCCTCGAATATTGTACTAGAGGAGCGAGAAGGCACGGGTGTCCCATTGATCAAAGGCGCAACGCTGACGAAACTGATTGAACGGCTGACCTACCACATTTACGCCGATCCCATGTTCGTGCGAACCTTCCTTACCACGTATCGGTCGTTTTGTTCGCCCAAAGAGCTTCTTATGTTATTGGTGGAACGGTTTGACATACCCGATCCGGCACTGGTGTATGACAGTGCCAGCGATAAGGATTTCGGGTCAGACACGGACAAGTTTCACAAAAATTCCCAACGGGAAGACTGGAAACGCTACAAGAAGGAGTACGTGCAGCCAGTTCAGTTCAGGGTGCTGAATGTTCTTCGGCACTGGGTAGACCATCATTTCTACGACTTTGAACGCGACGTCGACTTGCTGGAAGAGTTGTTAAAGTTCCTGGAAACAGTGCGAGGTAAATCGATGCGGAAATGGGTTGACTCAGTGCTGAAGATTGTACAACGCAAGGTAATTTAGAATTCCCATCCTTTGAGCAGAAATTTGAATCTTAAATCCAAAAACGTCATTCCACAGAATGAAAGTGACGAGAGCCACCGGCAGATTACGTTTGCCTTCGGCCATAGTCCACCGGCGATCGAACATCACTTACCGTTGAATGTGGGTGAAAACGAATTTAACCTACTGATGCTGCATCCCTTAGAACTTGCACGTCAGCTTACGTTGCTAGAGTTTGAAATGTATAAAAATGTAAGTATTTCAGTTAGTGTTGTCCAATTAGTTGTTAGCATTGGATAATTTAATGCGTCTGTATTCCAGGTGAAACCATCGGAACTGGTCGGCTCTGTGTGGACCGGAAAAGATAAAGAAACTACTAGTCCTAACTTATTAAGAATTATGCATCACACTACGAATGTAAGTACCCACTAATTGGCTGCTATAAAGTAAGTCTTGTAATAACCGAAATATGCACAACCCCCTTGCAGTTCACCCGCTGGATCGAGAAGTCGATTATCGAGGCGGAGAACTTCGAGGAACGTGTGGCAATGGCATCACGTGCAATAGAGGTGATGATAGTTCTGCAGGATCTAAACAACTTCAACGGCGTGCTGTCGATCGTGTCGGCCTTCCAGGGGGCGGCCGTCCATCGGCTTAAGCTAACGCTGGAGGAAATTACCAAGAGCTACCAGCGGGTGCTGGCAGACTGTCGGGAGCTGAACAATTCGCACTTCAAAAAGTATCAGGAAAAGCTGCGTTCAATAAATCCACCTTGTGTGCCATTTTTTGGAATGTATTTAACCAATATTTTACATATAGAGGAAGGGAATCCAGATTTTTTACCAAATACGGAATTAATTAACTTCTCTAAGAGAAGACGTGTAGCTGAAATTACTGGTGAAATACAGCAATATCAAAATCAACCATACTGCTTAAAAGTTGACCCTAGCATTAGGGTAAGTTTATCTTTCGCCTCAAAGCTGGGTTTGATTTCTCCTAACGGGTTCTTTATTTTTCAGCATTTTCTAGAAAATTTAGATCCTTTTAAAGGAATGAGTGTAACCGAGATTCAAAACTATCTCTACGAGGAGAGCAAACGGATAGAGCCGAAGAATTGCCGTCAGCCATTGAAATTTGTAAGTTCTTTTCAGTTAATCTCCAGGGGCAGTCTCCTTCTAACCGTGTGATTCTAATTCTCATATTCCAGGTACGCAAGTGGCCAGACATTCCACTAAAGTCTCCCGGTATCAAGCCGAGACGCCACAACAGTTCGTCGATAAACCTACCTGGAACGTTGCCATTCGTTCCCAAGACCTCGCCGGGTAACAATAACGATAACGGTGGAGAACAGCAGTCACCCCCGGCCACTTCGTCGTCGTCTTCCTCCGTGCTCGATTATTCGATATTTGCTCCCGTCAACATCCACTCTTCGTCGTCATCACAGCATCACCATCACCATCAGCAACAGACGCACCACTATCAGCATCATTCACAGGGCTCGATGCAATATTGTCCGGCCCATCATCAGTCAGGTGGCCAACAGCAAAATCATCACCATCATCATCACCATGGGCATCAGCACAGTTTTTCCCAGTCAGTGGTAAATCTCGCATCAGCGGCAGACCATCAGATGGCGCCGGAGATTCCACGACGCTCCGATAGTATTATCCTAACCTCTTCGCTATCGTCCCAAGTACAGTACAACCTAAACAATAGTAGCCTATCCGAATACAGCAGCAACTCCAGTGTTGGCAGTAAGCTAGTTCCCAGTCCACGCTATCCGTCGTCTTCGATGAGTGCGCTTTCGTCGTCATCGTCGGGTATTAGCGTTTCCTCCTTTTTCGGGAACATGAGCGCATCGAACAGTGATGGTAACAGCAACAATAATCCTTCTACTGCTAGCTTTAAACACACGCCAATGCTTAGTCAAAACAAAGTAGTAGCCAATACGTATGCTGAAGACAATCCCCATTCCATTCTTTCAGCGTCTGGTCTAGGGGGCGGAGGCAGTCTCAGCTTGAGCAGCTCAGCTGCAACCAATGCCGCTAGTATTGTATCGCTTAGCGACGGTCCAGCTGTACCTCCACCACCATCATCACATCCACCAAATGCGGCTGCAGCCATTTCGCCAAGTGCGTCGATGTCCTCGCCATCTGCCAGTTCATCATCGATGGTAACTGCCGTGGGTGCGTCCTCGTGCAGTGGAACCACGGTTTCTGCACCACCACCACCACCAGCACCGTCTTCCGGTGCCGACATTCCGCCTGCGATCAGTCCACGCACCGACAAACCAGCATATCCGCCAGCGCCACCACCATTGCGGAACCATGGCGGAGGAACTGAGTTTTGCTACAACACTTCCGGATTACCAAGCAGTACATCACCGCATGCAACTAGCAGTAGTAGTAGCTTTAGGATTAGTTCATCCAACACTTTGAAGTAAGTATTGTAAGAATTTATAGAAATTTTTAGCATTCCGAACAAGGAAACATTTTCAAGAACCTGGAGATAAAAATTGAAGTTCCTGGAGCTAGAAAAAAAATCAGTCAACTGAATTTTGATTTTTTTAGATCCAGCCCAGTAATTAGATTTTTTGGCTAAATCCTTAAATAGCTCAGTAATAAGAGGACGCAGCATTCATTGACATATTTCAAAGACTTTGGAAAATCATTTCCAGACAATCTTGAACACATTTCGAAGTCCGGTATCTCAAAAATATCTCTTAGAATCAAGTCTGTGATATTGTCCGAGGTATTGCATTTCGTTTTATCTGAGATCACGAATTTTTGTATGGCATAGTGGCCATTTGGCATAAAAGTAGTTATTCCGTAAGTTCCGCGCCTTGGAATATTCCTCAGAATTTTCTTAATGTATCATCCTTCTGACTAACCTTGCATTTCACATCAAAATGCTAGGTAATACGCATAAGAATCATCTGAATATTTCCCCAAAATGTCCTTGGAATGATCACAGAAATGTCTTGAAATTCTCTCAGGAGGGTTCTCCTAGTGATTATCTTAGAATTTACTAGCAATTCGCCTTAGGATCCACCAGGAATTGCCTTCATAATTTTTATGAAGTTCTTACCTTCGAATTGTATTTGAATTCTCCTTACTGGAGTTCTCCTAACAATTCCCTTGCAATTCTCAAACAATTCTACTTAGAACTAGTTAGTAATTTTCCTCGAAATTCATAGTTACCTTAAGGTGATACTCTAAGGAAGCCTTAGCGTGAAACTTTAAATGTACAAATTTCAGCTTCCACAAAACATACAAATTTGAAATTGCTACTCCTTGTTTGCTGTGCTACTACAAACAGAGAGTAGCGATTTCAAATTTGTATGTTTTGTGGAAGCTGACATTTGTGCCTTTGAAGTTTCACGCTAAGGCTTCCTTAGAGTATCACCTTAACCATTCTATTTCGATGGTAGCACAGGTGATCTGCAACTTTTTGGTCCGTATCATGTTTTTCCATCTCCCCTTAAATAGTAAATACTTCAGAGTTGGTTGGAAATGCTATCTAACATGAAGCTTTAGTGTGTTAATTTATTAGCTAGAGAATGGTCTTAGAAGAGGTTAGGTATATTGTTCCGTTAGAGTACGGTAGTATGAAAATAGAATAGAAGTTGAAAATGAGCCAAAGGCCTGTAGATTTGAATACACACTTCAAATCTCCACGTACATCGTACGGGTTAGGCAAAGAAGTGTGCGTTTGACTTTGTACTGTCGCATTAATGGCCCTTCGCTCATTTTCAACTTCTATTCAATTTTCATACTGCCGTACTCTAACGGAACTATCTACTTACGCTCTTCTAAGACCATTCTCTAGCTAAGCTTCATGTTAGATAGCATTTCCAACCAACTCTGAAAATCGTAAACTTCGCGTATGAAGTAACATAAAAACACTTTGAATGTAATCAAGGCGGGAGTAGCCCGTTAACAATGTTGATGATGGTACAGCACGCAACAACCACCCTACTGCTTTATCTCCACTTAGGGATCATCTGGAGTTCTCTATAAAATTCTCCTATAGTTCTCCACATAATCTCACCAACGAATCGCTGGTGTTGCACAATATCGTAGGTGGTACGAATTCAAAAATATTAAGAGCATCTTCAGAATACTCCTAGAATTCTCCACATAATCTAATAAAGAATTTCATGAGGAATCTCGTTCTAGCATGATCGCAGTAGTTCTATCTGCAATTTTGCTCGTAATTCGCTTAGATATTTTTGTACTGAGCTCTATCGGAATTCTCATTTCAATTTACCTGGAAAAGGCCTTACAATTCTCTTAACATTCTTTGCATAATCTTGCAAAAGAGTCGGTATGGAATTCTTCTAAAACTCTTCTAGCAATGCCCTCGGAGTTCTTCTCAAAATTAATTTGGAATAATTTCTTCTTAGAACTACCTTGGAACTCTTCTACGAATTACTTTGAAACTACAATTCCCTAAGAATTCTCTTCGGAATTTCCTTGAAACTATAATTTTATTTCACCAAGAATTCTTCCTTTAAACCCCATTGGATGCTACTGAGACCTACCTTGAAATTCTCGTCGGTATTCCTTTGTAATTCTTCTCTGAATGCTCTTGGAATTATCTCTTGAAATTCGGCTCAGAATTTGTCTGTAATTCTCCTCACAATTCCCTTGGAGGTCTTCTCATAATTGGAATTTTCCTCAGAACTTCCTTGAAGTTCTATTTGAATTCTCCTTTGAGTTCATAAAAAATTTCCTCTGAAATTCCTTGGAATTCTTTTTAGAACTACCTTCAAAATCTCATCATTATCTCCATGAAATGCTAACCTAGGAATACTCAATATTGGAATTCATCTGGAGTTCTCCTCACAATTCCCTTGGAATTCTACTCTGTACCTGAACTACTTTGGAATTCGGCTTCTTAATTCCATTAGAATTCTCAAAATCTTAATCTGAAATTTCCCTTACAGCTCAATGGAATTCTGGTCAGCGTTGCGTTACATTGGAATGGAACTTGAAGGATTACGTTGGAATTCTCGTTAGAAAAATCTCACATTGTTTTTGGGATTCTTCTCAAAACTCCATCGGAATTCTCCCCTGAACCACAAAAGAATTATACTTAGAATACCCTTGGAATTATCCCACAAAATCATGTTCAATTTTCCTCAAAATTCTTCAAAGTGCCAGAATCCTGAGAAAAAAAAACCTTAAGCATTTCTCTAGACTCTAGACCTTGTTTTTTTCTTCAAATCTAGAAACTACCAAAATTTTGAATACGGTTGTGCTACATTACCCAAAATGTCACTTCCCCGAACGCCATTACCTCGAGTGGCAACTTCCCCGAATGAGATTCAGCCTTCTATTGATTGCTGATCGTTTATTTTCACATTCGGGTTAATGGCGTTTGGGGAACTGACATTGAAGGTAATTTAACTAAACACCTTTAAGTACCATAATCTTGGGTATTATTTTAAATTCTTAGTACGAGATGTCGGAAACTTTCCAGTATCTATTTTTTATATCAATCTCCTCTCCGGCCTTCCAAAACTCTTGCTAATGACTCATGTAACAACAACAAAAAGTGCATGACAACTGTTATGCTAAAAGACTATTATACCAAATGACTTTATATCAAATGGGGTAAACATCAACTTTACATGCTATTTAAAAACTTCCCAAATTTGGGTAGAATCCATCCAGATCGGTCAAAACTGAACCTACCCAAAAATGGGTAAACTATGTTCAGAGTGACAAGTTGACAAATGAACAAAGTCGAACGGATTCATGTTGATGTTGTCCATTTGTCAATTTGCACTCCCAATATAGTTTACCCATTTTTGGGTAGGTTTAGTTTTGACCGAGCTGGGTGTATTCTATCCAAATTTAGGTAGTTTTGAAATAGCGTGTACGTCCTAATTCTCGGCATAATAATCGTTAGGCATAAATTCTTTTGGCATAATCAATGGTCGTTTGCATATTTCTTAAAAAAATGGTACTTGAAGCTTTTAAGCGGTCAGTGCACTGTAACAATTTTTTTGAAAAAAAAAAACATTATTATAAAAAGAGAGAGGGAAGGATTAGTAATTTCCATTTTATTGCATTACCTTATTTGCTTATGCTTGACAGTTACGCGTATTTCGTCTACTATGTGCAGACTTCTTCAATGTCTTGTACTAACACTCGACGGTATTAGTACAAAACACTGAAGAAGTCTGCACATTGTACACGAAATACGCTTATTTGTTAAATATAAGCGAATAAGGTAGTGGAATTTAATGGGAGTTACTAAGCACTTTGAGCACTTCCACAGTTGTTAATTGAGATCGTTATAAGCCTGCATTTTTTCATTTAAATATTGTTAGCACGACAATACTCTTATGTCCAGAAAAATCGGGAAGTTTTCCAACCCACTGCGCTTTTACCGAGCTTTACTAATGGAAGCCCCAATCGAGAATCCATGTACTCACACACAAACCTTTGCTGGATAACTCGAACCGATCTAACGACTATTTTCTCCCGACAGGAATCAAAACTGTGATTTCACTTCCGCGAGTAGCGCTCTCAACAACCGCTCGTCGTGTGACAACTCGCCGATTTTTCCGTCGAGCCCGAAGATGCACCCGACGGGAGCGACCACCGGGTCGGCAGCGATAGATTTTAACAGCAGTGCAATCTCGCCCTCGCTGTCCGCTTCGTTTTCGTCGACCTCATCGGCCTACCAGACGACCTACAACAACTCTTCAACGACGGCCGATTCGATGATCCTCAACACGACGGCGGCGAGCAGCGACTTCGGCCCGATTCCAATCTCACCGCACGTGAACGTACCAAATGCACACAATATTCCTCCTCCTATGCCACCTCCTCTACCTCCTAGGGTTAAACGAAAAGAGTCCTCCGGGGAGTCTTCACAGTCTTCGCAGGTACGACAAGCGCCGGACGCACCCAGGGTGAGTGTTTCTAGACATGCCTAGCCGTTCCCGGGCAATACTTAATCGTTGCTTCCATCTGCATCATCCACACAGCTTCCTCCGAGAGATATTAGTCCACCTCCGTTGCCGCCACGTACTCACATCCAGTCGCATTACTTGTTTGGCAACGTGCAACAACAGCATCAGCTGTACAGCTCAGCAGTGGCTTGTGACAGCTGGAATCACGTAAATGTATTCTCGGTGAGTAAGATAGCTATATTCAGAAGTTTCATATTTTTGACTGTTTCAAAATTTGCCCACACAGAAGGATGAATCTCCATCTTCGTCATCCTCCTCGTCGACGTTGACCCGCGACAACCTAAACCAGCACAACATGAGCGAACAACGGCTACTAATGTTACCGCACACCAGCACCATCATGATGCGCCGAAACTCGGCCATGGATCGTGCTTCGAAAGAGAACGTACCAAACATCACCGCTTCGCCGTCCCTCTCCGGACTATCCAGCACGGTGGCGGGTAGTGCTGTCTCCAGTGTGAACAGCGGAGGAGCAGCTGCTGGTGGTAGTGGACCAGTCAGTTTACCACCGTCCGCCATACCACCAGGTGCTGCGAAGAATAAATCTGTTCAAAATTCACCAGTATCACAACAGCAGCCGGCTGTTTGCGGTCGACGGCCTAGGTAAGATTTGTAGGTCTTAGTTTGCACAGAACTTTTCCTAATCAATCCACCGTTCCATGACATTTCAGTACGAATATTTCGCCACGATTTTCGCCCGGAGAAACAACGCCTAAATTACCTCCGAAGCCAAAGCAAACCAATCTGTCGTCACATTCAGGTGGGATGAAATTTTGCAATATAGGTTTGTTGACCTAAAAAACTAAACTAACATAATCAAACCGTTTTTTTAGATCGAACAATGTTCCCCTATCCTAGCACAAACTGACCAAACGGGAAAGGTTGCGGGCGGCATTTCTTACGATAAATGGTACGGTGTGTGCATGTGTGTGTGTGGATCAATCTTGCAACAGGTTAGTAATACAACATATCTCCCACTTTGAGGATGTTGAGGAAGAAGAAAGCAACAAAAATAGTAGGAGCTGTTGGGAGGGTTAATCAAATACCATCATCATCAGCGTTCAGGAACTCATAACAGAAAGAACTGTTAGCTGTTATGAGAGTGAGGCAAAATATCAGCGAAAATGATTGGTTGGAACCAAGTTAGAATGGATTTCGTTTTTCCTGCTTCATTCTAATTGCATGATGCAAAGATAACAAAAGAAAAAAAAGTGGTGCGATCTCCAAGCACCTAGTAGATGTGTTGTAATTATTATAACTTTTATATTTTATACCGTTTCCTAAATTTTATGATTTTATTTCACGACAATGTATAGAAAACGCTTTATGTTAGGGCGTGAGACGGCTTGCAAAGGAGAAAAGTATACAAAACAAATAAAAAAGTGCCATAGTTAGAGGATAGAACGAGAAACTTTTCTTTTCTGTTTCAAGGAAATGTAAGCATGTATGAAACAAACAAAAAATCATAGCATAGAATCTGGATTCCATACTATTCTCGCACATATGAGGCCATCTCTTGTAACGAAACGAAACAAAACAGAAGATTAGACGCAACAGTATCGTGTTCCTATATTTGCTTAAATTACTATATTAGAAGGAAGGATGTAAAGGAGGAAGAACAGGTGATATATGGGTGTAGGTCGTTTCTCTAATGGTAGCCTTTGGCCTAATGGAGGGAGAAAAGAAAAGAAATCTGCGTTAAGGTACCTACATATTTACGAAAGCCAATTTAATAATTTGATTAGACCAAATTTTAAGATTTGTGCGAAACATTAGTTACTGTGAAGAAGTGGACAATACCATATACAAAATATACTGCCGCTCTTCGCATGTCGCTCCCAAAGAAAGTTTTATCAAAACTTAGTTTTTTAATGCAAATGGTAGCTGATCAACCATATTTTCATAATACTGGATGAACTCATAAACTTTGTTCTGAACAAGTTTGGAAAGACAGCCAAATTGGTTGTCTCATCACATAAGAAGCAATGGTACGAATCAAGCTTAAAATGCGATTTTCTCGGCTTGCTGATTTTTGCCATGGGACCGACATGCGAAGAGCGGCAGTATCTTCTTCTTCTTCTTCTTCTGGTTATGGGTGTTGTCAAAACAACCCACTGATAAATGGCACAGCATTTTCGCTATAACGCCAGTCGGTTTTTCATTGGGAGTAGCTTTTTTGTTTGTGTTGTCATTTGAATCAGTGCATTACAATCTTATAGCATTATATGTTTAGACTGATTTCCTTAAGAAACTTACATATATCTTTCAGAGTATCAATGTTTTTGTCATCGTATGCTTCTTGGATTGAGTAATATTTATCAAGGTTGTGTTTATCTCTGGGTATTAGATATTTTATACAGTGGAAAATTATGTGTTCAGAGGTGTTTAAACAGTCGCATAATTGGCAGTACATCTCATCTTTAATTTTCATCCTGCTGAGCCAGAACGGCGAATAATCGTGACCGGATAGCAGCCTGTTGAGTGTTCTTACTTCGGAATTGGTTAGCGGCAGGTTGTGGTACCATGATTTCAAATTTATTCCTGTTTGAAATTTAAAGAACTTCCTTCCTTTGCCATGTTCCTGTGTGTAGTTAACATACCATTGTTGAATATTTTCAGTGATATCGCTTTTAATCCAATTGATGGCATCGTGTGGTAATATCCGATTGTTGGCTATTTCTTTCGTATGGAGTGCAGCTTTCGCCAGGCTATCTGCAATCTCATTTCCTTCCAGGTTCACATGTCCTGGGATCCATTGGATACAGGTGTTACTTATTGATGCTTTTTCAATGATGGTATGTATAACTTCGTCTCTTTCAGTTGATTCAAGTTGACTTTTTATGAATTCGCATCCCGACTTCGAATCGGTGAGAATTACAGCATTTTCGATTTGATTCCTTTCCACGTATTGTAACGCCACTACAATTGCTTCTAGTTCCGCTGACATCGTACATACAGTGTGTTTCAGCTTCAAGCTAATCTTGCATTTGTTACTCTCATCGAAAATACCCACGCCGCAGTGTTCGTCGTCCTTCGACGCGTCCGTATAGATTTTCCGGCAATCCTTATATGGTCCGTGTATTTTCCCCAAAGCTAGTTGTTTTAGTGTTTTTGCGGATGTGTTCCTTTTGGTCCATGGCTTATTGTCCAATTCGGTTTCGACTCGTATGGTTGTTGAGATTGGTTGAATCAATACTGTATGCGTGACCTCGTTGAAGACATGTTTGTAATCCTCGAAAATCTCTTCTTGGAAAGTTAACTTATGTGTTGTTGCATCGTTGGATACATTCAACTTTTGTAGTTGTGACCAGACCGGAGTCAGAAATTGTGCGTGTCTCACTATTTCTTTAGCCGTTATCAACTTTCTACGAAATTGTAGGGGAGGTTGGCTAGCTATAGCGCATAAAGTATTAATTGGTGTGGTTTTTGAACATCCTGTAATCTTTCTCAAACACGTGTTGTTGGTTATCGTGAGTTTTTCCAGGCTACATTTCGATGTGTTTGCATACACAGAAGCACCATATTCTAAGTAGCTTCTTACTATTGCATTGTAAAGAAGGCTTAGAGTTTGTGGGTGACCACCACACTTCGTGCTGCTTATTACCTTCAGCATGTTGATTCTGTCAGTAGCGCGACTCTTAACTTCTCTGATATGGCCTCCATATGTTAGCGATCGATCCAGTGTAACTCCTAGATATTTGTAGGTGTTTACTGTTTCCAAGTCCGTGTTTCCTATACTCAACTTTAATGATTTTTTGTTCCGTTGAAATAGCATGACTTTTGTTTTGCTTTTGTTTATTTTCAGGTTCAGTTGTTCCGATTTCTCCTTGAATTCATCTACAAAAGTCTGCGCCCGGTGTTGCACAGTTTCAACGTTTTTACCTTTTACGATTGCCATGAAGTCATCAGCATATTGAACCAAAATCACTCCATCTGTTGTTCCATTGTGTAGTTGTGCCGTGTAGATGTTGAACAATATTGGTGACAAGACATCCCCTTGAGGCAGTCCATCTTTTACTTTCCTTTCTAGATGTTGTGCGCCTACCTGTATTTGAATGGTTCTGTCGAGGAGAAAGTTTACTATCCAGCTTGTTAGTTCCAGTGGAGTACCGTATTCGTAAAGCACTTGTTCAAGTGTCCCTGTTTTAACGGTATTGTATGCATTAGACATATCTATGAAGATCGCCGCTGCAACGCTACCTTCTCTTTTAATAGAGTTTAGGCTGTTGATGACGTAGTTCAGACATGTAGTAGTGGAGTTGTGCCTTCGGAAACCAAAAGATGTTTCTGGTAATATTGCATTACTCTGTATGAATTGATTTAGCTCAACTAAAACTGCCGTATTGATCATTTTCAATGAGCAGTTAAGCATAGAGATCGGCCGTAAGTTGCTGATAATTTCTGGATCTCGTCCCGGTTTTGGAATTGCAATCACTTTAATTCTGTTCATATTTTCATCAGTTCTTCCGCATTTCCACATTCTATTGAGATCCTCGATTACGCTGTCTCGAACATCAGATTTTAAATTTCTCAGCATTTCATAACTGAGACAGTCCGGGCCTGCCGCAGAGTGTTTTTTCTTCTTGTTCAAAATTTCGTACCATTTTTCGACATTCAATATGTCATAGGTTGCCTTCGCGCTGAAGTTTGCATCGTAATTGTCACTAAAAGGGAAGTTATCATTCAGGAATTGAATTGCTGCCTCTTCGTCTTCATGTGCGATCGTGGGCTGATTCCGTTTCTTCTTTTTTCCGGTTAAGTTATTTATTTTCCTCCACAATTCTTGGCTGCTCGTACTTGGATCAATTTCTTTGACATAGTCTTCAAACTTCTCTCGCATGAATTTATTTTTGCTCTTTTTGAAAATTCCTTCACGTCTTTTCATCTCCATTAGATCATCTAGTGTGCCACTACGGTTGAATTTGGTCCTAGCTTCGTTTTTACTTCTCCATGCATCTTCTATTTCCGCGTTCCACCAAAACTTTGGCTCATACCGGTTCTTCTGCTTCGCGTTTATCATAATTCTTCTTGCCTCCTGCTGTAGTGCTGCTAGTCCTTTCACCTGATTCGTGTCCAGCTTCCCTACTTCTTCCATAACTTTCTTCCGGTTGACGAAAAATCTGTTAGGCGATACTTGATCGTTCGAGATTGCTATGTGTATAATTAGATGTCTACTGCCTATTCCGTATTGCAATACTTCCATCTTCGTATCTTGAAATAGCCCCGGAGATACCAGAACTAGATCAATTACAGAAGGCTTTTTGTTTAATTCCGCTTGAATAAATGTCGGATCGCCATTGTTCATCAAAATTATGTCCTCGTCATTGATGATGTCGAACAGAACTGCTCCTTTTGCATCCGAATGATGTTGATCCCATAAATGGTGGTGTGAATTAAAATCACCTCCGATTAATACCTTTCTGAAACCTTCAACGCAATTGAACAGTTTCGTCAAGAAGTTTTTCAATTCGTACGCCGATGTGCTAGGTGCAACGTATATCGAAATTACCGCTAGATCCATTTTGGTTATATATCTGCCTACACATTGTATATTCTCCGTCGAATCTAATTCAATTTTCCTACTTTTAACTGCTTCATGTACAATAATCATTGCACCTCCATACCCATCTAACCTTGAACAATAGAAATTGTTGTAATACGGAATTTTGTATTTGGTATCTTCGTATTCTATTTTAGTCCAACATTCTGAAATTAATCCTATTGTGTATACTTCCTGTATCATTACTCTGGCTAACTCTGATTTATTTTTATCTAGACTTTGTATATTACACTGTATAATCTTACATGCCATTTCTGTTGTTAATTAGCTTTATTGTAATCAATTCTTTGTTTTATGCTACTCTCAACCGACTGGCTTACCTGTGCTAGTCCTGCGTGGTCTCCGTTGATCTGATCTTCTTCATCATCATCCATACTGAGCACCTCCTGTGACGTGTTAAACTGCTGTACAGCTTCATGTGTCTTCTGTGCTGCTTCTCGCATGTGGTTAAGTTTCCACTGGAATTTTTCGAATTCGTCTGTCTTGTAGCGATTGAACAGTGCCACTCCGTTCGTGGTTTGTTCATGATCCGTTTTTCGCTTCTTGTCGTAGATAATTTTTACCTGGTTTCCGATGTTTTCCGTGTTCGTTGCTTCTCCTGACGATCGCTTCGGTGTGTGCACTTTTCGGTTTCGCTCAATCTGTCTTATCTGGCTTTGGTTGCTTGTGAGTTGAGATACCTTCGCATACGATTTAGATAGCGTTGGGAAATCCTCAATGTTTTCCAACAGGCTAAATTGGTTTTGGGTGTAAATTGGATATTGTTCTTGCGCTTCCAGTGTCGTGAGGTTTGTTTTCGCCATTATTACTTTCAGGTTGTTCTGTCGCTCGCGTTCGGGGCAATTAGCATCGCCTGATTTGTGACCTTCCTGTCTACAGTGTAAGCATCTTGCTGGCATGGTGCATTGTCCATATCCTTGTTCATCGTGATTTCTTCCACATGTTTCACATCTCTGTCTAGATCGACAGTTGTTCGTCCGGTGATTATATCGCAGACAGTTTTGACAAAAAACTGCCTTGCTAACAAATGGCTTAACTTGATTTGTACAACAGAACATTCGGACTTCCAATGGCAACTGATTGCATCTGAATGTCACAGCGATCCGTGTGGTTGGGATTTTGTTGTCATTCTCATACTTATGCAGTCGTGTTACACTCAGAATTGGCATATTGCAGGTTATATTTTCAAAGATTTCCTCCGGTGTCATCTCCAATGGAACTCCAGTAACAACTCCTGCTACCGTCATGAAGTGCTTTGGAATGTACG